ACCAACTTTGATCTCTATGCTTACTACTTATAATCACTTAAAATCTACCTTTCTGTAGTTAATAAATCTGTTTTACATTTTACCTAAAACCGTGTGTTTTGGTTTAAGTGCTTGGGAAATCTCAGCTCAGATTACAAAGGCTAGTGCAGGGGTTCTCAAACTGGGGGTCAGGACCCCTCAGGGGGTCGTGAGGCTATTACATGGGGGGGTCGCGAGCTGTCAGCCTCCGCCCCTAACCCCGCTTTGCTGCCAGCATTTATAATGTTTTTGTTTAATATATAAAAAAGTGTTTTTAATTTATAAGGGGGGTCGCACTCAGAGGCTTGCTATGTGTAGGGTTACCAGATAGCAACTGTGAAAAAACGGGACGGGGTGGAGGGTAATAGGCACCTATATAAGAAAAAATCCCCAAAAATGGGACTGCCCCTTTAAAAACTGGACATCTGGTCACCCTAGCTATGTGAAAGGGGTCACCAGTACAAAAGTCTGAGAACCACTGGGCTAGTGTATGTCCTCTTCACAGGGGTAGACTGGGTAATAAACTTACACTGGTCATGCTTCTAACTAGGGCAAGACAGTATATTCCAGGAAAGTAAGGCTGAGGAGCTGGGGGGAATTGGCTGGAGCCTCTCTATTGTTGGTTCATGAGTGGCTGGGACAAGCATTCATGTAACTCAGTTGGATGTGTCCTTGGCTGCGGATGTCTGAGTAAGTGCAGTACCTGCCAGAGGTTTATAGCTTGTCACAGCATCACAGTGTGAGAGAGATACCCCAGGATGGTGGGACAGAGGGCTCAGCAGTCCCCCAGTTCAGGCTGCACCCTGGGAACCCCATCACAGTCACCCTTTTTGTATTGTCTTTCTTTAGTGCAGTGAATGTATAACTCACATTCTCACAGCTATGGGTTAATAGCAAGCAACAAAGTATAGCTTCAAAAACATCAAACAACTCAAAGAATGGTAATTCACACGCATGAAGTTGGCCACAGCACACATATGGCTTCCTCTTGCACAGGCTGTACAGGTTCTTTTGCTTTGTCAGCCAAGGCATTCCTCTGCTACAAGTGGTACTCTGTCCCTGTCACTACAGCATCCTTAAAAAACAGCAACAAAGAAAGAAGATTTAAAAAACAAGCAAACAACCCACCAAAATCACAGTATACGACAGTGCAAAAGAGGAGCAGGCATCTGTCAATAAGGGATTGTCTACACATGGAGTTATTCAGGAACAGTTACTCTCATATAACTTCATGGGTAACTAATCATATTCAGGAATAAGACTGCCTTGTTTCTGTTAAGCTTAACCCACTGCATTAAACTAAACAGGAATAAGGCATGGGAAATTTCACATGATCTGTCCAAAAAGGGAGCAAACCCCTGCACCTCTGAGAACAGATGGGGTATGTGGGGGCCCTATAGTTGCTCAAGGTCTCAGTCAGAGAGAGGTGTAGAATGGTGTCCTTTCCCTTTGAGGTGTGTTACCTAGGGCTCTGACTAGGTGCATTCAAGGAAGAAGTCTAAAGATCAAGACAACATGAGCAGTTGGAGCAAGGTTGCAGGTGGTAGACAGTCCTAGTGCTGGCTTCCACATGGAAGAATTACACACTTGAAAACTATTAATAGTAGCACTGGATATGTTCCTTTCCCTTCTGAATGAATTAAGCCTGAGCTGTTGTACTGGCATCAATAAATAAATAACTTGCAGCAGGTGCTACCAGCTAGGCTGCCCCATTTCATTCCAGTCCAAGCAAACAGTCAGCCAGTTGTGGGGATGTTAAAGTGTTAGGAGAGAATAGTGGCTCTGGTTCAAGCACCAAGTCTATTAAGGAAGGAGATTACTACTACAATTATAGTACCAGTGGACGTGAATAACTCTTTCTATGGAACAACGATGAAGGTTTCCTCACCAGTCAAAGAAATTTGGCTAGCAATAAACAAAGTTCAATGGACAGCTGCACAATATGTGCAGCATTGCTGATCCATTTACAGACCTTTCTACATGCCTACTGATCGACGTATAGTAGGATGCAATCAGTCCACAACACATTTAAGCATGATTATTCCTGTTTTCCCTTTTTTCTCTTACTGTATTTTTTATCTATATCTCTGAAGGTTCTTAACACTGAGAAGTAAAGGGGGATATAGGCATTTCTAGCTTATTCTAGTGACACATTTTGGGTAGGAACTTTAGCAACCTCAAGTTACCTGATTATTGGTAGTTGTTTTTTCTATTATTTTTTGTTCCAAAGCCAGTGAGATATTCTGACATTAAATCATTCTTTAACACAGGCCCTCCTACAATTAAAAGCTGTCTTCTGTGCTTGTTATATGTGAAGGCCAGAAAACTAAATTCTTTTCACTCAGCAGTAAGAGGAAGGCCTTGATGCTGCAATGGGCTCTGTGGAGGTGGATGGAGGATCAACTGGAATGGTGCTATGTATGGGTACAGTGGGTTACAATGGTCCACCCATGTAAAACTCACTCCAGGGTGAGATTTTCAAAAGAGCTCAGCATCCACTAATTCCCATTAAGGACAATGGAAATTGCTAGGTGCTGAGTGTTTCAATTTCAGGGTAACTGCACCTCTGTTCCCCCCTTCGTAGTCCACTCCAGGAATGTCTAGCCAGGTCTCAGGGCTCCACCCGTTACCTTGTCTCACTTCCTTCTGACAGGGCATTTGAAGGCTGCACAGCTCCCTGCCTTACATTGTGATATCCCCAGCAAACCAGTTTGGACCCTAACGGCTAGTGCCTGTGCATTGCTTTCTCTCCAACTATGAACTGCATATTGCCAACAATTACAAGTTACAGAGAAAACATAAAAAAATACAAAAGTTCCTATACTCATGCTAAAATCTTAACAGAGGTCACCTATCAGCCTTATGGGGGCCCTAGTAGGCCAAAGTCTTTCCATCCCTTCTGCAACGGTTGAGACAGAAGGTCCTGTTTGCTGGTTCAGAAAGAAGGGCCCCAGCCAGTGTAGTCCCAGCCTTTCTATACCAAAAGACCTTTCTCTGTCTGTTGGTCTCTGGAAAACCCAGTTTGAACCATTTATTGCAAGCCTCCCCAGGGGAGTGGTACCTCTCTGATAGTGTTTACCACCTTTATCACCCTCCCTCCCCCACTGTTTTATAGTTCCTGGAGGCACTGTGGCAACCTCCCCCTCCCCCAAATTGCATATGATCCCTGACCAAGAGTGATACATCAGCTATTCATAAACTTAATACAGTATGTTCCCCCAAAGATATTGCATGCAGTTGCAATATCTGTCATACTGAGCTCTTTTCAAAATCTGTGCATGTGTGATAATATCTCAAAAAGATTGTGTTTGTTTGTGTATGTGCACACACACTTTAAAGATTTTTTAAGATTTGCATAACTTTTTATTTTTAATCAAGGCAGATTCAGAAATATATGTAATGGTATTTCTTGAATTGCAATGCCATCATCAATAATCAGAAAACAGAAACAAAAATATTGAGTCTGAAAATGATTTCTTTCTGGAAACTAAAACTATATAATAACATTTTGCATTCACAGTGGCTTCCATCTGAGGATCTCAAAATACTTTATAGTATTAATGAATTAAGCATCCAGCACCCCTGGGAGATGTGCATTATTAGCCCCTTTACATACCATGTCCTGAAACTGAGACACAGAGACAGAGCCGGTGCTACCCCACTGAGGGCCCTAAGCAGGAATATTTTTGCCCACCCAATACTAAAACAGGCAAGTTCTTATAATAAAAAGCAAACGTCCCCTCTCCTCGTTTAGCTGCTTGGGGCCCTAAGCAATTGCTTAGTCTGTGTCTGCCTAGCGCCAGCTCTATACAGAGATATTAAGTGACTTGCCCAGGATCACCTAACAAGTCTGGGGCAGTGTCCATGGAACTTCTAGACCTATGCCTTACAAGACCATCCTTTCCCACACCCATTATTATTTATTGAAATACTGTGGTTTTTGCTGTACAAAGCAGAGGAAAGGTAAAAGGACATACAGTATAATAATCTAATGTGCAGGATCTGCAATAGCCTTTGCAGCTAGCTCAGCACCTCGGCATTTCCTGATTGTAAGGTTATTCCCCCCTCCCCCAAACGCTACAGTGACTTTACTCTAATCAATTATACATTGGTTGGTTAAATGGTAGCCGCTAGTGAAAACCCATCCATCAACCCTCCAACTGGAAAGCTCCCATCCCAACCAGCCAAGGCCCCTCCTCCTTCCTTCGCAGAGCAGCACTACAAGCAAGAAGGAAAAACAGGGAAAAGCTATTGTCGGGAGCTTGGTTGATAAAGGCACCGGAGCAAGAGGAAACCTAACTGACGGCTGCCCCTAACCCCAAAGGGAAAGGGGCTGCAGCGGTGCATGGACGAGCCTGTCGTGTCGTGTCTGTGCCTTACTGCAAGGGATACACACGCAGGCGCGATCACCCTGGAGCTTTTCCTGTTGTGTAGCAGTAGCTACAGTGAGTGACAGGCGAAGGCCGCCCCCGCCAGCTAATGACACACGCGCGCTATCTCCCTGCTGCTGCTGTTGTGGCCTTGGGTTTTTTTTAAAAAAGGGGGCGACACCCCCCAACACCGCTTCTCTCCCGGTAACTCATCGCCAGCCGCGGTGCAATAGCAGGGTACAGCTTAGCGCTTCCCTCCAGCCCACAGTCCTGCCCCACCTCCCCGCCCCCAAGCCCCAAGGCAAATCACACAAGGCGCTTTACTACTCCCCTTGCTGCTCAACCAAGCCTTTAGAACGCTCCGGGGAGAATTCCACCCCCAGCTGCTGCTGTGCTCCCCCTCCCCTGCCCCCAACCCGGCTAATGGTGAGAGCCGTCAGAACACCTGGGAGGAGAGGCGGGCGGCAGTTACCTGACAGTGATTGGCAGCCCGGCCTGAGCCAATGGCTGCGAGAGAGAGATGGGGGCGGGGGAGAGGGAGCTGGGAGGGAGATGCGGGTGTAAGGCTAGGCGGTGAGGGTAGGTTGCGCCTTGGACCGTGTGCAGCTTAGTGGCTGTGCCTATGTGAGTGAAAGGAGAGAGGAGGGGGAAGAGACGTATCCAGATCCAGTGCAGCAGCCGGAGGAGCTGGAGCAGCAGCCGTTCTGCTGCTGTGGGGGAAGGAAGCCTAGGGCTGCTGCATTTGCACCCTGATTGTTTTTTTAAATTTAATTTTTCTGGCTGCTTTTGCCCGTTATTTATGCAAAAAATATAAATAAGGAAGCGAGTGGCGTGATTGAGATAAATAATTAACTAGAGGAGGAGGCGGAGGAGGAAGAAGAAGAAGGAGGAGGAGGAGAAGAAGGAAAGCAAAGCAAGCAAGCAGCAGGCAAGGGGGCAGTAACTTTAACCACAGCCAAGGACCCAGAGACACTGACTGGCCGTTTGCTGCTGCAGCAGCCGTCTCAGCCTTGTGTCTGCGCTGTGTGAGGGAGAGAGCCCTTCCCTCCTGCCCCCGGCTGCTGGAAATGTCTGAGCATAAGGCAATTGATCCGAAGTTATCAACGACGGACAGGGTGGTGAAAGGTAAGTGCTGTGCCGTGCACAGACGGACACACACAGACAGCTGTCTGCTTCCACTGCCCCTCCTCCATTTTTTTAAATTTGGCTACCACCGTCCTCCAAGATACCGTACGTCTCTCTCCCCTCCAAGGAACGGGGTCTGCTTATTTACTGTGGCTGCAGTTGCTAAATGGACGAGACGGGTTTGGAGGGGGGTGGAGGAGGCGGTGATGGGGGAGTGAATAGGGAGTAGCTGCTGTGAGAGATAAAGGAAGTGGTGGCTGTTGGTCAGGATTGTGTCTGGGGGTGGTAATTTGATTGGTATCTTGCACTATTGACTCGGGTTTGGGTTTGCTCGGGAGATCTCTCTGCCTAGAGCTACATTGCAGCATTTTCTCCCCCTGCCTCCCCCTCTCTGCCTTCAAGTGATTGCACAGGGCTCGCGAGAGAGAGGGGGAGCCCCAGCTTCCTTAGTTGCTGGAGTGTCTCAGGCAGAAGGGAGGGGAGGGAGAGAAGCACAAGAGCCTGGATCCCTCCTCTCCTCTGGCTACTTCTTCGGGCATTTCCTCCTCCCCGGCCTGATCCGAGCCCCTTTGGGTTGGGTGGCCGGGTTCGCACGCAGGCTCCGCTGTCTGTAGGCAGATCTTGTCACTGCATTTCAGCTCCCCGCATGCATGAATATGCCCGTAAATCCCCCGATCCTGACAGCCTGGGCTCTCCTTCTCCCCCTCCTCCCTCGCGTCGCTGACATCTCTCCTCTCTCTTCCCTCTCTCAAACGTGCTGCTTGATGTGGGTGACACCTGGAGCCAGCGGTTGATTCACAGAGATCTCTGTTCGGGCGAGGGCTCTTGCTTGCGGTCCTTTATGGTCTATTTCTCCACATAGAGAAGGAGGATCCGCCGATCTCTCTGTCTCTGTGTACACAGTACACACCTAGCCTATCCACCCAGCCACCAGTGCTGGTATGGTGAGGAAGAGCCTATGCAGCAGCAGTGGGAAGTTCTTTTTTCTCTGGGCGATGCCATGTAGTCCAGTAGCCAAATGAATTTCGTTTAGGGAGGGGGATTTGACTCTAGAATGTGGAATATTTATCCAGGATCATCCTCTCTAGGAGATGAAAATGCATGTACAAGCCGCATAATACATGCTGAACATTAAGCACAATAGAAGGCAATCCAAGCCACTTCCCCCATCATGGTTATTGTTTATGATTTGGCCTGGTTGAATGTGAAGTTATCCAACAGAGACACTGTGCGCCCTTGTATCTTTGCATGTGTGTGCACATATCTGCGTGTGGGTGTTGTTCCCCACAAATGAGTATAATCTTGATGACTTGGATCCATTGTAAAAAACATACATATATGTTCTATGAGCTTGAATGCTCCTGAGCCACTCATTTGTTGAAAAACATCTGAGAGTTTTCATTAGCCACACAAACACAGTACACAGCAATAAAAGAATGTTTATTCCTTTGTGGAACAAATGTTTATGATTTAATACATGTACAATGTGCGTATTTCTATATACGTACTTAGGTGTAATACAATGTATCCATCATAGGCTATAAACCTGTATTCATCTCCAGATTTTTTGGTGAAATACAAACTCCAAATGGGCTGTGAATGCTTCCAGAATCCAAGAAACTTGGAAAAAATTGGCTCTGTAGCATGCACGATTGTATGTGTTTACTTGAACATCAACCAAAACCCAATGTAAATCTTATTGAGAGATTCACATCATTTAAATCATTTAATTTTCTGTTTTTTTCTAATTGTTTCATATCCAAGGGTTTGGTTTTTTTAAAGAAACTTGGTTGTATGCACTGTAGTAACAGTTTTAAAAAATGGAGTTTGCCTTTATCTTGTGAAATAAGAAATATTTGTCGCATGACTTAGGCAATATTACATTGAATCATGGTCCTGTGACATCACAGTAAAAGAGCCAGGATTTAAAAGTTTGTAATATATGACTAGACTTTTCTGATACCCTTCAATTAGAGACATTACGTACGTTACAAATATTTTGCATAATGTCTGGAGTACACTAGTAATTGGGGTTGAATGAAGATTTCTTCTTAAATTTTGTGTTTGACTCTGTGTTAAGGTAGGACCAAATTCTATGGACTTTACTCAGGGAAAACTTAAATTCAGTGGATATTCTACATGAGTAAGAACAGATGTAGGATTTGACCTATTATCTTTTTACTTAAAACAAAATCATCTTTGCTTTTCTGAATGCTGATAAATAAAATTGCTACTCCTGCATTTAATAATAGACTCTTACTGTTGTCTTTAAAGGTACTATAATAAGTCTAGGGTGGTGGTTTTTTTTTTTTTATACACATTAGTGTGAGGTTTTAGTCTCCTTATGACTCTTAACCTTAAATCACTCTTCACATTGTTACACTTCATTTTGTGTTAATAAGTATATAGGCTCCAAACTTCCCAGAAACACTATTTCTAAGATATTTGACAGCACAGATAGTTGGGCTTTCTTACATTTTTGTGTGTGTGGATTCTGTGAACATTCAGTCCACCAAACATTTAAGATTTTATTCCTTTTATGAAGTATTCATTAAGAGGAATTGAAGGAAGGAACAGAAATTGACCTAAATCATGCTTAGAAGATTTATTCATTCATTTGGCCTGATAGTTGTTGTTCGTCAACATTTTGTAGTTAATATTTGGATTCATTTAACTGGTTCATTCTTTTATTAAACACCAAAATCCGGTTAAATGCTTAAATACAGAACCTGGAGTGAGTAATGCACAGTGAACTCTTAATAGGATTACTTTTATACTGTATCATATTCATTTTAAATTGCATTAACTGAACTGCTTTTTTATTGTTTAGAAGCATAAATGAAGAAAGATCGTAATGTAGCTTTTTTCACTTGTAATAACAAAACAAATGTGATTCTTAACTTAATTTAGTGCTGTAGAATCCCAGGTCCGGTGTTACATTAGTCAGAGCTATAGTATTTCTTTTTCATAGGTCATTATCTGTATCTTCTTGAGAGGAAAAGCTGAATAGCCTTGCAATGGTAAAATTAATAAAAAATCAAACATTAAAACACATATGGAGATAATCAGTGAGCCTTAAATTGTAACAAAGAAAAATGCATAATTATTTGAATCCTCTGGGCCATGTTCAGATATAACCAGTGTAAACAGAGAGGTTTTTTAAAAAAGATTAATAAATAAATAAATTGTAAAATAGAACCTTATTTGGGGGAGAAACATTTTTTGGTCATGTATGTAGGCTTTAGATTTGATTAATTCTTCTGACTGCACAAGAAGCAGTGGCTCTACCAGTCAGGATCTGATAATTTACCTACTGCAAAGTTATAAGTTGAGTTTTGAAAGATCACAATTAGTCAACACGTGACAGGAGATGTCTTGTTATATCAAGATCTCCAAGCTCTGTGTGAACCTTAGGTAGGTACTACTACATAACAGTTAGTGGTGGGTTTGAGGGGGTGAGAATTCTAGCAGCTTTACACAGATTGATATATTGCTGACACCTGTTGGGTGGTTTTTTGTTTTGTTTTTTTCTAAAGATACTGCTAAAGAGAGTGACTCTAAAGATGAGAAATGACATAAGTGCAAGTAAGTGTTTCATACCCTGCCACTCGCATGGAATTTTCTAGACTATCAAATTGATTTAACTCAAAGTAAAATGTCCTCTTTTTGTCACAGTACAGTTAGGTGTTACTGAATGCCTTGTGAGATCTTGGCTTTCTCCTACCTGCATTATGTCATTTGTTCACAATGGCACCTGACAGTTTATTGAGTGAAATCTTAATACTCACATGTCTGAAATTACTGTACAGTGAGCAATATGAAGAAGTAATTCGAACCCATGTATTAAAATGGCAAATTTTCAAAAGCAAATTGACTTTTGTAAGAGTTGACAAAAATGTATTCTTGGGAATGGTAGGGAAAGAGTATCCTGCATGTCAGTCTGAAGGATACTATTATACTTCGGTCAAGCAATTATTATTCCACTTCTTTCTCCTTAATCATTATGATGCAAAGAGGGTTAAGAACTTCTTGCAACTGTAACCTAGACAAGTCAGCTTTAGACTGTTGGTATTAACATGTGAAAATACTATTTTAAAATGTATTGTTCTGCAAACACGCATATGATTAGTTCAGTGGGATTACTCATATGCCTAAAACTGTGCACGAGCCTGAGAGTTTGCAGGATTGAGGCCCTTAAAACCTCAGTGTTGCTGAAAGGTGCTGGCTTGAAAACCCTGTAGGTTGAAGTCCTTCATGTCCCCATAGAAAGGTATGACACAGATGCTGAGAGGGTAAGCTTCTCCATGTCACTCTGCTTATGAGCTTCTAGCCCTCCCCTTGGGATGAAAAGGTGGCTAATTATCCACACTAGTTTACCAGTTGAAGCCTCTGAAATTTGCCAGTGAGAGTATCAATGTGTTAGGTTTGGCACTGGCTTTTAAGGTGGGCCGAGAGTACTAACTCATTCCACAAAGGTCACAGAACAGCTGTCTGATGGCAACACCTTTTGATCACTACTGACCTTGGCAAGATTTGAACCAGTGACCTAGAAGGGAAAGGCTCTATATCACATTACCAGTCTCTTCTATGTTACATTACAGTCTCCTGAAATGCTTGTGTGTGTAAAATATATGGATAGATTTATTTGTTTTTTGGTGTGGCCCTGACTCTAAATATAATCTCTTTGATATTTTATCCCTCAATACCTAACAAATAAAGTAGCTTGTATAGTTACACTAGCATGTGTTCATCAAATCAGTACATTTTGTGGCTAGTCTTGATTTTTAGGTTCACATTCGTGTGTAGTGGTGACTGGTACATATTGCTATGAGCAAGAGGATAAGGCTCAGTGGAAACTCTAAACCTCAGTACTTAGAAAAATGTATGCACTTTTTGTAGGGCAGTGCCTCAAACTGGAATCCAGAGCACTCCCAGGTGTATTGCAGAACTGTTCCCCTTTGATGAAGCAAATGTAAGTCTTCAAGCACTGATACTTCTTG